GTGTGTGGGACACCTCTGAACATCAGCAGGAGAGGACTCTTTAAAGTAGAGACACTACATACTGATCTACACCTGAACATCAGCAGGAGAGGACTCTTTAAAGTAGAGACACTACATACTGATCTACACCTGAACATCAGCAGGAGAGGACTCTTTAAAGCAGAGACACTACATACTGATATACACCTGAACATCAGCAGGAGAGGACTCTTTAAAGTAGAGACACTACATACTGATATACACCTGAACATCAGCAGGAGAGGACTCTTTAAAGTAGAGACACTACATACTGATATACAGCTGAACATCAGCAGGAGAGGACTCTTTAAAGTAGAGACACTACATACTGATATACACCTGAACATCAGCAGGAGAGGACTCTTTAAAGTAGAGACACTACATACTGATATACACCTGAACATCAGCAGCAGAGCACTCTTTAAAGTAGAGACACTACATACTGATATACAGCTGAACATCAGCAGGAGAGGACTCTTTAAAGTAGAGACACTACATACTGATATACACCTGAACATCAGCAGGAGAGGACTCTTTAAAGTAGAGACACTACATACTGATATACACCTGAACATCAGCAGGAGAGGACTCTTTAAAGTAGAGACACTACATACTGATATACACCTGAACATCAGCGGGAGAGGACTCTTTAAAGTAGAGACACTACATACTGATATACACCTGAACATCAGCAGGAGAGGACTCTTTAAAGTAGAGACACTACATACTGATCTACACCTGAACATCAGCAGGAGAGGACTCTTTAAAGTAGAGACACTACATACTGATATACACCTGAACATCAGCAGGAGAGGACTCTTTAAAGTAGAGACACTACATACTGATCTACACCTGAACATCAGCAGGAGAGGACTCTTTAAAGTAGAGACACTACATACTGATATACACCTGAACATCAGCAGGAGAGGACTCTTTAAAGTAGAGACACTACATACTGATATACACCTGAACATCAGCAGGAGAGGACTCTTTAAAGTAGAGACACTACATACTGATCTACACCTGAACATCAGCAGGAGAGGACTCTTTAAAGTAGAGACACTACATACTGATATACACCTGAACATCAGCAGGAGAGGACTCTTTAAAGTAGAGACACTACATACTGATATACACCTGAACATCAGCAGGAGAGGACTCTTTAAAGTAGAGACACTACATACTGATATACACCTGAACATCAGCAGGAGAGGACTCTTTAAAGTAGAGACACTACATACTGATATACACCTGAACATCAGCAGGAGAGGACTCTTTAAAGTAGAGACACTACATACTGATATACACCTGAACATCAGCAGGAGAGGACTCTTTAAAGTAGAGACACTACATACTGATATACACCTGAACATCAGCAGGAGAGGACTCTTTTTGTCATAACTTTATTGAAACTACAATTTTGGACTAGTGCAATATTCAAAAGTGCAATTGAGGACAGAATGGAGAAATGTCCCAAACGAACATATCATAAAGTGTATTTTTCATTAAGAAACCAGAAGGCTCTGAATACGACCAGTATGATATGAAGTGGAGCATTTTCTGACCCAACACTGGAATCATCAGATTTCCATTAGACCTCTATTTACTCTTTAATGAACTTCATCGCACGCTTTACTTCTCAAACTGTGTTCACAGTGAACTCCGGTTTAACGGTTCAGCAGGTTTCCAATTTGGCCTTCATACCTGCACTAAAGGTCCTCGTGGACCACAGTACCTCTGCCATCACTTAAAGACTGACTTTACATTCATCTATTCAAATTGTTTTTCCGTGACTTATTGTACATCGAGATCCTTTAGTTTTGGCCTTTCTGTTCCTCGACACATTCAACCAGCATTAAGCCTTTAACTCTCTTTGTCCTGTTTTCATTGCATTAGTGCCTTTGCAACAACTTGAAAAGCAGGTGATACGTCTGCTGTCTTGGAGGAGTGCATTCATAGGGTCAAAGTGTGAAGAATTTAAGAATCCTTTTTTTAAATGTGCTATACAAATGTATGGTTGACTTGGTAGTGTTTACTAAGGTTTATATAGAGTCGATGTATAAACAACTTTTAAAGAACAAAGATTTGGGATGTCTCCTGTATTAGTTAGCCCACCACCAAAATTATAATCACTTCATCATTCAACAGTTTTTTGTTTATAAAAAAATGTGAATTGTCGGAGATTGGAGGCTCTGAGGTTTAATGCTAACGTTAGCAGCCACTTTGTTAGCACAGCTTCACATTTAAAGGGTGTTATATTTGAAACAGCTTATCAGTATTTGGGTACAGACTCATCAGGAAAACGGTACCAAATTTGTACCGTTTTTTCGATACCCATCAAAACTCCTTTCTACGTTTCTGGCAGCTTCTAGTTTCATTTCCATCAGCAGGCCTTTCTTTGAGATCCAGCAGAGACTTGATTGGTAATCAATGAGAGTGAGCATCATGCCTGCTTTATTGTTGCCACTCAAGTAATCATTAGGAGATAATGCAGCCTTGAAAACAATGCACACACACACACACACACACACACACACACACACACACACACACACACACACACACACACACACACACACACACACACACACACACACACACACACACACACACACACACACACACACACACACACACACACACACACACACACACACACACACACACACACACACACACACACACACACACACACACACACACACACACACACACACACACACACACACACACACACACACACACACACACACACACACCACACACACACACACACACACACACACACACACACACACACACACACACACTACACACACACACACACACACACACCACACACACACACACACACACACACACACACACACACACACACACACACACACACACACACACACACACACACACACACACACACACACACACACACACACACACACACACACACACACACACACACACACACCCTCAGTGATCACTTCAGACTAATTATTCACTAACTGATAACAAAGGATCAGATGTTTTGGGAAATGCACGACACACTATGGCTGAGTGATTCCTAAGAAACTCGATTATTAACAATATTTCATGAAAAAGTATTAGGAATGGATGCCTCGTTTAATCAATCTCCTCCTTAAATGTGTATTAAATATTAACTGATAATTTAAAGACATTAAAAAAAGTTCTTCTAAGAACAACTTTAAAATCCAGAGATGTGACACGGCACTTGGAGATGCACTCAATGGGTTCATTTCTGACAGATATGTTTCTTATATTCATTAAAATAATTAATTAAAAAAGACATGCCTTTAAAAAGTATTTATTTCTATCATTTTTTTATTTCTTGAAGCATTTAAAAACTAAAATCTTCCATCTATTTGACGGATATTATTCTTATATTAATTGAATCATTAAAACCTATTCCCTCATTTTTTAAATGTTGTGGTATATGGACATTTTCCCAAAGTATATTGGACTGTATTATTGTAATATGGAGGATGACCTTATACATAACCCATCTTTTATTTTTGTTATACCCGTGTTATTTACGTTCTCAGTGTTAATATTGATTTGATCTCTATAGGTTTAGTTTTTCATATTCTCATGTTGAATTTCTTGGATTTGAGACCTTCTACATGTTGGGACCCCCCTCTAAAGAAACTGCTCATCTAAATAGTGCATGGATGTATAATAAGAAGTGGATACAGCGTGGGAGGCGGGGTCTCTTTCCTATGAGAGCTGCTCATTGGCTCATGAGGACAAAATGGCCCAACTTTTGAGAGAGCGAAACGTCACAGATTACCCATCATGCCTAGCTGTCAGAGCAGAAGAACCCGTATGTGCGCTCACAGAGCATGCGCCCCTTAAGCCCCGCCCCCCGAGCTCCCACTCTCGGCTCGGTAGAATGAATGGAGACAGAAAATAAATCTAGATTCGGCTTTTAGTGCATTTTACAACTTTAAAGACCGAATGATTCTAATAAGGGCTATCACAGAGTGCATCCTGGGTAGTTTATTTAGTATCCGCTGATTTACAGATGTCTCTTTCCCAATGTAAGTCAATGGGGAAAAGTCTTTCTGGGCCCAGTGACGTCACGGACCGATACGGAAGTTGCAGTACCGCCGTTTGGACACAACGAATATTTTCATCAGAGTCCGGCGCACTTCCTGGGGGCTTGATATAGAGTGGTGCAGTGACGAGTCCTAAAACCCGGAAGTGAGTCAGCATTTTACCACTTCCTGTTCCCTCGTCTCAGAGCCAATGGGATTTCTCCATAGGATTTTGGAAAATAAGGTCTGTGGTTGAGACACATTGAAGAGACGGATCACGTTTTGTTCTAGGACATTAAATCCATCAGCAGTGACCCCACTGGTGATTTCTGAAGAGTTGACGTGTCTGAAAAGCGATGGTTGTTACCAAGTGGCTGAATAGGACTACAGAAGTCGTGGAGGCCGTTGTACGTCATTACGCCGAACACGTAAACACTCCTCTAAGTTAGTTTCTGTTCTGCTTGAAAGCAAGTACCTGCCTCCTGCAAAGTGTTCAAACAAACGCTTCAACTTTTACAATTCTGAATCTGTATGTTTGAATATGGATCTGAAGTTGGCGTGACGTTGAAGTCGTGCTGCTGGACTCGGCTGTAATTCTTTTTATAGCATAAGGTTAGCATTTTGCTTCTGGCGATTAGATTTATGATTAGAAAATTATGAAAGTAGGGTAGATATGTGGAGATTATCCGGCTGAACAAAACGTGCATTTATCAAACGGGTTCGTTTTCCACAGACCTTATTTCCAGCTATTTCCAAAATCCTATGGAGAAATCCCATTGCTTTTTTTGTCGAGGGAACCCATGCACAGCTTACTACCGGGTAAATACGTCATCCCTGCACCTCTCTATAGGAGTGCTATGGATGTAAAGGGGAATGTGAGAAAATAACTAATAAAGAATAGGTTTAAAAAATAAAAACCTATTCCCTCACCAGCGTGACGGGCAGCAGGATGGTTAGCAGGGCGATGTGATGCAACACCAGCAGGAACTCTCTGCGCACGAAGGTGCTTATCGTCCTCAGCGAATGGCGCTTGTAGTCCTCGTGCCCTTTGACGCGGAAGCGGTGGTAGTGACTGAGGTACATGGCGAAGATGTCGTACGTCATGTAGGGGACACCGAACCAGATGACAAAGTAGGTGGCCAGCCAGTGCCTGAGGAAAAACAAAAAGACCAATACAGGTTAATTAGGACAGAATATGGACAAGAGCAAATTGCAGGAAATGCAATATTTGGTCATTTAGTTGCTATCAAGTGTCTAAATGCGACTACTCAACGTCATCACGCACAACATTAGCCACATTTAGCTTAGCGGTGGTGACGTGAAGTCATGTGACCGTGCTGTAGTTCCTTTATAGCCCAACATTAGCCTCCTTTAGCTTAGCGGTGGTGATGTGAAGTCATGTGACCGTGCTGTAGTTCCTTTATAGCACAACATTAGCCACCTTTAGCTTAGCGGTGGTGACGTGAAGTCATGTGACCGTGCTGTAGTTCCTTTATAGCCCAACATTAGCCACCTTTAGCTTAGCGGGTGGTGACGTGAAGTCATGTGACCGTGCTGTAGTTCCTTTATAGCACAACATTAGCCACCTTTAGCTTAGCGGTGGTGACGTGAAGTCATGTGACCGTGCTGTAGTTCCTTTATAGCCCAACATTAGCCTCCTTTAGCTTAGCGGTGGTGACGTGAAGTCATGTGACCGTGCTGTAGTTCCTTTATAGCACAACATTAGCCGCCTTTAGCTTAGCGGTGGTGACGTGAAGTCATGTGACCGTGCTGTAGTTCCTTTATAGCCCAACATTAGCCACCTTTAGCTTATCGGTGGTGACGTGAAGTCATGTGACCGTGCTGTAGTTCCTTTAAAGCCCAACATTAGCCGCCTTTAGCTTAGCGGTGGTGACGTGAAGTCATGTGACCGTGCTGTAGTTCCTTTATAGCACAACATTAGCCGCCTTTAGCTTAGCGGTGGTGACGTGAAGTCATGTGACCGTGCTGTAGTTCCTTTGTAGCCCAGCATTAGCCACCTTTAGCTTAGCGGTGGTGACGTGAAGTCATGTGACCGTGCTGTAGTTCCTTTGTAGCCCAACATTAGCCACCTTTAGCTTAGCGGTGGTGACGTGAAGTCATGTGACCGTGCTGTAGTTCCTTTATAGCCCAACATTAGCCACCTTTAGCTTAGCGGTGGTGGCGTGAAGTCATGTGACCGTGCTGTAGTTCCTTTATAGCCCAACATTAGCCTTTTCTCATTTGCCGATTGCATTTACCCTTTAAAAATCTAAAAGTGGTATTATTATTATTATTATTATTATTATTATTATTATTATTATTATTATAAGCTTATTTTCTGCAATATACCATTGCTTTTTGTCAAGGGAACCCTTGCAATGCTTCCGGGTCGCACTAATACTAATCATCACTGCACTAGTCTATAAGCGCTGACTGGACTAGATATAGAAACAATTTTGACACGGAAAAGAAAATTGATTTTTGAGATTTAAATACCTCATACCTAGTTAAATTATTTATCCTTAACGTGAGTGGAACTATTTGTTCAAAAATGTGCGCTGAAGAAAAAATGTGTAATCTTAAATGTTGCTTGGGAGCATTTTGACAAAACAACCTGACTCCACATTTCTCAGAGTTACGTAATTGATGAGTTAATGATTAAGTGGTATTAGAGCAGATAGATGGAACAGTAAACAACCTTTAGCTTCAACACACGGGGGAACATTATACACACGTGGGAACATCACACACACGCGGGAACATTCAACGCACGCGCGCGCGGGAACATCACACACACGCGGGAACATTCAACGCGCGCGGGAACATTCAACGCAGCACACACACACACACACACACACACACACACACACACACACACACACACACACACACACACACACACAACACACACACACACACACACACAACACACACACACACAACACACACACACACCACAACCACACACAACACACACACACACACACACACACACACACACACACACACACACACACACACACACACCACACACACACACACACACACACACACACACACACACACACACACACACACACACACACACACACACACACACACACACACACACCACACACACACACACACACACACACACACACACACACACACACACACACACACACACACACACACACACACACACACACACACACACAGCTGCAGGGCAGAGCTGAGCTACTGACCCCTCATTGGATCTACTGACCTCTGACCCCTCATTGGATCTTCAGCTCTTAAAGGTCGGTGCAGATTAAGAGCAGAAAGGCACAACAAACAGCTCCGGGTGGAAACAACGCTCTGTCCATTTAAAGACTGTATTAAGGGCAAAGGGACTGCCTTTTTAAACACACAGAGAAACATCTATACACCTCCCTAATGTTACATTTCAGATATGATATTCTGTTACACCACTTAGTTGAATACTCGATTCTGATTGGTCAATTTGGGCATTCCAGCGGCATTATTTGCAATAACAGACTGTTGCGCAAGAGGATCAGGGGAATAGAAAAAGGGACAAAAGTCAAGGGACTGGAAAAAAACAAGCAGTCTTAAGATAAATGTATCCAGAATATCTAAACCACTTAAAAGCAAAAAGTTGGACCGAAATAAAACAAGCTAATGTGTCAGAAAATGAACTCATCAACGATATACTAGTATAAGTCTTTTCATATACGTTGGTTGTTGTATTAAATGTGTTAAAAGATACACTATGCTTGAGGTAGTTTAAAAACAATGACAAGGCTCATCTTACAACAGGAAAAGTGTCTCGGGTAAAAATGAAATGAAGAGATCCTTTTAAAATGTTAATATTTCAAATGAATATCGGCCAAAACTCTAATTTATCAACATTATTAAAGGCCTTTATTGGTGCACCCAATATTACATTACATTACATGTTACTTGTTAGACGCTTTTATCCAAAGCGACTTACATACTCAATACTGAGGACAATCCCCACAGGAGCACTTTGGGGTGAAGTGTCTCAGGGACACAACGACATGCTGACTGCAGTGGGGTTTGAACCTGTGACCATCTGACCCCCAGACCAAGGCTCTATCCACTGCGCCACACGCCTCCTTTCAATATGTTGAAAGCAATCTCTTACCGCCTACAGTTAGTCATATTTCCCCCAGGAAGACGGCCTGTAATTTGTGATGTGGTTTAGCTCATGTTTCTAATTTGTTTCTGTGATGATTCAGCGTCCGATCACAGAATTGATAACGTTTAGTAAATCTGAGAAACAATGGCCGCAAGAGAGGGGCCCAAATAGTTATAAATCCAGATTCTTCATTAAGAGATCACAATTCTTCTGTATATCTGTAAATGATATACCATCATATGTATATACGGTATATTATAAGCCTGTTCCTGCAGTATTTTTGACCTTTTTAAAAAGAACATTTTAATTATCCAGAATATTTTATATACTATTTTTCATTTTCATTTTTAATTGTTAACTCTTTTCCACTTTTTAAGTATTTTTATTTTAATGTTGAGCACACTGGTTCTGTAACAAAATAATTTCCCAATTTGGGATTAATAAAGTAAGTATCTATCTATCTATCTATACTCCGTTTTGAAGGCCTCATGGTTTTAGTCAGGAGCCGTTCAGTGATGAGAATATTAAAAGGATCCTTCTGTTAGCATGAGGTAGAATATGCACTCAACATATGGGCATTCCCCTGCTCTCTCAGCTGTTCAAAGTACAGTCCTCGGTATTGGAGGTTCCCCCGCTGCAGAAGACTGAAAGAACATCCATAACTTTCATCCATTTGCAACTTACTAATTATTTATCCAATATATCATATTCCAATTACTTGTATATAGACTCTCCTTGCACTATTTATATTCTATTTGATTTGTATTTACTTGCACTATTTTCATTGAAATATCTACACTGTAGCTATGTACACATGACAATAAAATGCTTGAATCTTGAACACATGGGCATTAGCCTGCTCTCTCAGCTGTTCAAAGTACAGTTCTTCCTCACTATTGGAGGTTCCCCACTGCAGAAGAAGCATGGACGGCTAAATAAAGTGACAGATTGTGATGGAGCATTAAGAGCGTGCATGGGTCTGCTTTTGGAGCATGTGTCTCCTAAGCTCCGGGCCGTGTGCATGTCACAGGACGGCAGAACTGAGCAGCGTTGTGAAGGGATTAATCTCTGTGGGTGAAGGGGAGGGGCGGCGGAGATTAGCAGCCCTGAAACTGGGCCTTCCTGCTGACTCAGGAGGATTCATACGCTAGCATTAGCCTAGCGTAACACTTCCCTAGACGTCACCAGGGAAGCTAACGCTATGCTAACAATAACCTCTTGCCAGGTGGCTGATGTGGAGCTTGATTGAAAAGAAAAGGCTCGACTTAAATAGAAGAAATGGATATATGCATTTGTGTCATGCTGTACATGACATAACAATCGCTCAGGCATTGAGGCCCAATGTGCTGATTTTACGATGGACATTGACCATGTGTTATGGGGTAAAGCTCTTTGGCTTATCTGTGATGTTAAGAGGTACAATCATAAATAGTCTTGAGATAGTGAATCTGCAATCAGTAAAGCAACTCTTTGAACGATACAGCGGTACAATATGTTTTTCTTTGCTAAAATGACAATAACGTAACACTTCCACAAACTGCACGGGGAAGCTAATGCTATGCTAACATTAACCTTCTGCCAGGTGGCTGATGTGGAGCTGGGTTGAAAAGAAAAGACTGTATTTTAAAAAAGGAAATGAGGATATATATTTTTGTTGAGATAAAGACATAGCGCTGCAGTACAAGTGTTTTTTCTTCGCTAGCATTAGGTTAGCATAACACTTGCCTAAACTGCATGGGGAAGCTAAAGCTATGCTAACTGGTGGAGGCGTGTGGCACAGTGGGTTGTGCGTTGGTGTTGGGATCAGGGGGTCACAGGTTCAAACCCCACTGCAGTCAGCATGTCGTTGTGTCCCTGAGACACTTCACCCCAAATTGCTCCTGTGGGGATTGTCCACAGTATTGAGTATGTAAGTCTCTTTGGATAAAAGCGTCTAACAAGTAACATGTAACATGTGATGTAACATTAACCTCCCATCAGGCGGCTGATGAGGCGCTTGGTTGAAATAAAAAAACTCAGGAAAAATATAATTTTTTAGCGGTAAATGTAAAGTGTTTATGAAATAGCTTGAGCACTGAGCCCCTGCTGTGGTAGATTGTTAATGGACATTGAGCATGTCTCATGGGGTAAAGCCCTTTGACCTACGTATGATATAAAGCGGTTCAGTCGTATCTGAAGATAGTCCCGCTGTAATCAGTGTAACTCTCGTACAGATATAGCACTGCAGTACAAGTGTTTTTTCTTCAAGGGTATTAAGGGCAGTCTAAACCCTGGATCATCTTAGTGTAGGTACACTGGTAACCATTGTTTCCAGTGTACAGTGCAGCCATTATACTGTACAGACGAGATGCTGGAAACAATGGAGTTTGTTGTGTTCCCACACTTGGTCTGGGCTGTTTTCCTGCTTAGTTTAGATACACAATGTTCTGTTATCGCTCAGCCTTTCAAAAACAAATAAATACTAAAATACTTGGAGCCTTTTCTTTTGCTACTCGTACATTTCTTGATCATTTACCAATCCACATTGTTTCTGTTGTGTTACATGTTGAAGGTACAACTAAACATATTGTTGCACGCTCCATCAAGGGTTATGATTGGCTGTTCATAGATAGATAGATTATTGATCCAGGGAGGGAGTATGCGCCTTGTCCATGCAATATAACTATAAGTATTTGTTTCTTTTCTTGCGACATTCATTTAATGCATTTACGTGAAATAATGAAAATTATATCAAACAATATTCTTAAAGCCATTTATTATATGGCTTTAAAACTCGATTCTGATTGGTCAATTTGGACATTTTGATGCTGTGGGTTCATCCGCAGAAGAAAGTCCCTTCCCCTACATATTTCTAATCTTTTTATCTTATCTTATTAAAGTCAGCCTTGTGTGTTGGCCTTGATGGGTGCAGGTACAAAGTAATGATTGAGTGTGGGGAAACAATGAGATGCAGAGAAAGGTGTGAAATGTCCTTGTTGAGAAAATAGTGAATGTCCTCTTCCACTATGAGCGTAACATGATAACAAAGGTATCCCAACTGTAGCTGTGAACATGACAGGATGTATGATTACCTAGAAGAGCATCAGGACTGTTTTAGGCATATGATAGCTATGTGATGAACATGATGATTCAGCCTCTATGGAGATAGACATGTGACAAGCATGCTCATTTCTGACGTGGAGCTAATCTGAAGTAAACATTGAATACTGCTTTCTATTCCTCCATCTTGTGACTGTGTAACTCCCTCTCTTGGATATCAGCATGTGAAGGACACTGTTCAGGAACTAGTTGATGCTCTGTATGTGATGACTACTTCCATTCTGGAGAGGATCACAGATACATGGATCCTGAGACTGAAGCTCAAGCCGGGGACCAGGGATATTTTTCTAACAGGATGAATGAAAGTTAGTCTGACCTGTCACTAATGACGCTGCCTCGGCATGACGACACCACGATGACTCCCGCCGTGGTCGCCATAACGGCATGGATGGAGGACACGAGCCTGAGAGAGACACAAACAAAGAGAGTGTTTTTTAAACGTCAGCAAATGCATTAAACAAACACACTCTAGAAATCTGATTTAAAAAATGTATGGCTTGTGTTTTTAACTAGCCATGGCAATGCAGGCATGCTAACAAGCTAAGCTAAGACGGTTTATGCCAGATTAACATCAACATTTTTATACATTTCAAAGGTAAAAAAAAAAATATATAGTGTTTTTTTGAACAGATAATTGTATTTATGGGAGTATTTCACATTATGCATAATAGCAATATAGCACCACCATTACAAACATTAGGAGCAAGATGGCAACCAAGACCAACTCTGTATTTAACCAATGTTTTATTTAAAATATCACCTTTTTTTACATCGTGTACCCGTGTACCCCTGATGTCAACAGTTTTGTGTGGATGTATATTTGATATATTTTAAAAAGGTAACAGATAAATATTATATTTTTTGTACAGTTAATTTGATTTATAGGAACATTTAACATTCAAAATTAGACGAGTGACACTTCTCCCAAGAACAGTCATATGGCACCTCTTCCAAAACAACATTACGCCTAAGAATGCAACCAAAACAAACGATTAACCCCGCCTCCCCCAAATGTTCTTGTTTTGTGTCTACATCTACGCCGGGATCCGGAGTGGAGGCTGATCCTCTTGCTGTGGTCCTGTGCCCTGGATCCTCTATCCTGTGCCCTGGATCCTCTATCCTGAGCCCTGGATCCTCTATCCTGAGCCCTGGATCCTCTATCCTGTGCCCTGGATCCTCTATCCTGTGCCCTGGATCCTCTATCCTGTGCCCTGGATCCTCTATCCTGTGCCCTGGATCCTCTATCCTGTGCCCTGGATCCTCTATCCTGTGCCCTGGATCCTCTATCCTGTGCCCTGGATCCTCTATCCTGTGCCCTGGATCCTCTATCCTGAGCCCTGGATCCTCTATCCTGAGCCCTGGATCCTCTATCCTGAGCCCTGGATCCTCTATCCTGAGCCCTGGATCCTCTATCCTGTGCCCTGGATCCTCTATCCTGAGCCCTGGATCCTCTATCCTGAGTTCTGGATTAAGTCGTGGACTTCGGGTCGTGGCTGAACCTGTCTCTGCGGTCCTGCCTGGGTCTCGTCATGCTGCTTCCCTGATGACTCCCACAGGATTGTTGTTGACATCCTCGTGGATTCATCTTCTTATTATAGACACACGCATTTCCAAACATTTGGTCTACCTACGCTGTAAATGTATTATCTCTTTGATTTACACACGGCATCTATTGCACGTCTGTCCGTCCTGGGAGAGGGATCCTCCTCTGTTGCTCTCCCTGAGGTTTCTCCCATGTTCCTTTAAACTGTGGGGTTTCTCTGGAAGTGTTTCCTTGTACGATGTGAGGGTCTAAGGACAGGGGGTCTAAGGACAGAGGGTCTAAGGACAGAGGGTCTAAGGACAGAGGGTCTAAGGACAGAGGGTCTGAGGACAGAGGGTCTAAGGACAGAGGGTCTGAGGACAGAGGGTCTGAGGACAGAGGGTCTGAGGACAGAGGGTCTGAGGACAGAGGGGTCTAAGGACAGAGGGTCTAAGGACAGAGGGTCTGAGGACAGAGGGTCTGAGGACAGAGGGGTCTAAGGACAGAGGGTCTAAGGACAGAGGGTCTGAGGACAGAGGGTCTGAGGACAGAGGGTCTGAGGACAGAGGGGTCTAAGGACAGAGGGTCTAAGGACAGAGGGTCTAAGGACAGAGGGTCTAAGGACAGAGGGTCTGAGGACAGAGGGGTCTAAGGACAGAGGGTCTAAGGACAGAGGGTCTAAGGACAGAGGGTCTAAGGACAGAGCGTCTGAGGACAGAGGGTCTGAGGACAGAGGGGTCTAAGGACAGAGGGTCTAAGGACAGAGGGTCTAAGGACAGAGGGTCTAAGGACAGAGGGTCTAAGGACAGAGGGTCTAAGGACAGAGGGTCTAAGGACAGAGGGTCTGAGGACAGAGGGGTCTAAGGACAGAGGGTCTAAGGACAGAGGGTCTAAGGACAGAGGGTCTGAGGACAGAGGGGTCTAAGGACAGAGGGTCTAAGGACAGAGGGTCTGAGGACAGAGGGTCTGAGGACAGAGGGTCTGAGGACAGAGGGTCTAAGGACAGAGGGTCTAAGGACAGAGGGTCTGAGGACAGAGGGTCTAAGGACAGAGGGACTAAGGACAGAGGGTCTAAGGACAGAGGGTCTAAGGACAGAGGGTCTAAGGACAGAGGGTCTAAGGACAGAGGGTCTAAGGACAGAGGGTCTAAGGACAGAGGGTCTAAGGACAGAGGGTCTAAGGACAGAGGGTCTAAGGACAGAGGGTGTCGTTTTCTCATACTGATATGCTGCACAGACTGTTGTATTTGCTGCATAGTGTCTTTACTGCAGGGTATCTTTATTATTTGTTCAGCACTTTGGCTCCACCAAAAATCGTTTAAAACTGTGCTATATAAATAAAACTTGATTTGATTTGAAACTGTGTTTTTAACAAATATATTATTCGAAACACCATCTTTTGCTTTTCTTACTTTGTGCATGTACCTGTGTACCCAACGTCAACAACATTTTCCGTGTATATAATCTTAATACATGTCTTTCTATTTGTTTAAAACATTGTCTTGTTAGCTTCAGCTCAAAGCACCTCTGTGCCCAGGTACAGCCTCACAAAACAAATGTCTTGTAAATTGAGTTCCCTTTGTGATTGATACGACAAAGATTTGAATAACTCTAGCGTCTGGTACCCTGACCTACAAGTTCAGTACCATCATGAGATTAGCAGTGCTTGGCCTCATCTTTCCTCGTCTATAAACAGACTTGTCATAGGAGAACTTGGTGCGACTCTATTTGAAGTGTCACTGTGTACGGTGGCATCCATCTGGCAAACATAATAGTGTTCTTACAACTCGTACACTAAAAACCTCCCTGACGGTAACGACAAACGTGATGAATGTTCAGCTTTCAGCCAAAGAGACGCTGGCAGATTTTCTTTTTCTAATTGAGTTAATTTCTGTCCATTTCAAACAGGAAGTTGGATTATATCACCAATTTGTTCAAAGTATGAATGGCCGCTTTTTTTGCACAGACAAGCTCTCTCTTCCTGGCCGTCCTCCAACTTGGCAGCAGTGACAGTAAGCTGCTTTTGAGTCAGAAAACATGTAATTTATTCCCCAACACTCACTGCAGCCATAATGGACAGTCAGCTCTTTAACAACGCCACAGTTTCAAGCTGGTTTACATTCTCCACCTACTGATCTCCACCTACCTCAATGAATGGAGACTTATGGCGCTTTTCCACTGCAGGACCTCGCACTATATATTTGGAGGGCCAGAAAAAAGGTGAAAAAGTAGCCCTGAGGAACTACCCCGAGTGGAAAAGCAAAAAGAAACCTGCCGGGTTTGGCCCGTGCTACGTGCTGCAGTGGAAAAGCGCCATAACAAAGGTTACCTAGAAGAAAATGCATCCAGTGCGGCAATTACTCAGGTAATGGTTATGGATGAGAGGCTTGTGTGGGCCAGAAAGAAAGCTCGTTTGAATTTAAACAAACTTTTGTGGTTCGTAGGCCTTCGTTTTGGATTAATACCGTTTTAGGAGAGGACACATATTGGATCTGAGGACTTCTAATTCACTTTAAAACCAGGAATGATCATATCTTCATATATTCCCCAAACAGATTGTATAGGAATCATGGGGTTTGAAGGTTTAAAAGTCAGAAATATAATCATTGATAAAGATTGTGCTCTGTTTTGCAAAGTGTTCAGTCAGCTGTTCTAGCCTGTTGATAAGATGTCACGAAGCACAGGTTGGACTGTCTTGATATCTGGATTAGACATTAACTGTCCTCAGTGGATGATTCCTAATAAACCCCTTGACCATTGCATGGTGTCCAGAAAACAACAAATGTCATTAAGGTGTCCAAAATGTCCAGTTTATGCTCCCCAGGGGGACGAACCCTTGATAATCTTCCCGTTGATACAAATGAGTGTTTCCATCGTATTTCATAATGTAAGAAATAGACTGCCATGAAATACACTCAGCAAAGATTGTGCTTCTTAAGAGATTTTGACTTCAAGGTCCTGTCAAAGACACATGGTACATTTCTAGATCTTTAATGGTAGCAGGTATAGATGCTGCACGATTAATCGTAACTTAATCAATATCGCAATATGGACTAGTGCAATATCAAAATAGCAGTAAGCACAATAAAATGAATATATGTGAAAATATCTGAATAAAGTCTTTTAGAGGTTCCTATAGTCCCGGCCTTCAAATCGCTTTCTACAGTCATAATAAAAAACATCCTTGCTTGGTACAGATCCTCTCAAATCATGATTATTTTAATATGTTTGCCAGTGATATTATTAATTATGTTTAACAATGGCAATCTTCTCAAATATCACAACTCATATGGCGAATGCAATATCAGTCAAAGTAATTGGAATTAGACCTTTTTCCCAAACCGTGCATCTCTAGTAAGATGGCTATAATTGGGTGAGGTTCATAGATTGAACCATAGGAAACCTAATCACAAAAGGGCCTATAAGGAGATCAGATTCCTCAGACCCAAGGATATTCATACCTGATCCAAAATACAGTCTACGCAAACACACTAGCGTGAAAACACCAACACTGGCAGTAGCATGATGATCCAATAAATAAAAGCATCTGAAGTAGGGCTTGGTGCTATATCTATGCAATATCGATATATCGTGAGAGACAAGCCTAGATTTTGAATTAGACTATGGATAAAGTAATATGGTAAGGGTTTCCTTTTTCCAGGTTTTAAAGGCTGATTTAGGCTTAACTGATGTAATATTCTGAATTTAACAGACTTGGATTATTTTCCACTAGCCTTTAAAGGTGGGGTATGTAATTCACTTCAGAAACACTTGTTATATTCCATGGAATGCTCTTAACATCCCGATAGCAATGAATATCTGAAGTGCTTTGACAAAAAATCCATAAATAAATATCATCTGTGGAAGCTGTAGTACTGTAAA